CTGAATCTTATGTTTTGTTGCAGGCAGTATTGTGCTGCTGGCGCTAACCTGGCTGTCTACTTCTCGTTGTCACCCATCTGGGACCTGGGATCTCATGCCCCAAGGTTTAGAAAATGTCAGCTATCTTGAGGGGTGCCTGGGTGGCTCAGTTGGTTAAGCGTACGACTTTCGGCTCAGGTCATGATCTCAGAGTTTCATGAGTTCAAGCCCTGTGTGGGGCTCTTCACTGGCAGTGAGGAGCCTGCTTGGGGTTCTCTCTCTCTCTCTCTCTCTCTCTCTCTCTGTCCCTCCCCCACTCGCATGTGCGCTCTGTCTCTCTCTCTCTCAAAATAAATAAACTTAAAAAAAATTTTAAAAATAGCTATCTTGAACCTATCCACTAAATATCTTTTGAGTTTATCTTTTATACTATTGCCAGAGTGGTATTCCTAAATTGAAACCCGATCATGTTATTCTTCTTGCCTCAAAGCAACTCACTGCCAGAGAATAAAGTCCAAAATCCTAGCCTGGCATATAAAGGCCTGCCTCTACATTGCTCTCCTCAGTCAAAGCATCAGATCTCTTTAGGTATTTGGTCCCACAGAAGAACTCCCCTCTCCTCTAACACTATTCCCTACCTTCTGCCGCACTTCTACCTGGACGCCCCTCCCATCCACCTGGAGAACCCCCTCCACATCTCTCAAGCTTCAGTGCCGTGTCATTTTCGCGATGAAGCCTTTTCTGATATGCTCTCGTCGCTCTGAGCTTCTGTCTCAACAAAATGTGGATCGTAATTCCTACACCCTCCTTTAGCTCAAGAGTCACATGAAGAAAGGGAGCATGAAAGGCCTCTGAGAAATGCCAAACACTATGCAAGTTCCAAGTTATGTTATAAAAGCTATTACGCAATAAGCCTTTTCTCTTTAGAGACCTAATGGAAGTCCTTGTGATTATTATTGTAAAATTCACCTCTACAAGTTAGAACATTTCTCCTGCTTATTCATTGCTTAAACATGAGCTAGGCTTAAAATGGTGATAAGGTCTGTGCCCACTTCAGCCACAAAGAGATTAAAGTCGGGCCCTCACAAAGAGGATCAGCATGATCTCCGCCCCATGGGATCTGCAGTAGTGAAAAATGTCATTTTCTTTGCTTTCTACAATTCTATTCCCAAGTTTCATATTTCTTTCCTTTTATCCATGGAATGGTCTTCCTTAGACCTCTCATCCTCTTCTAGTCAATAAATAAAAGTTTGATCTCCTTAAATGACTTTGGCTCTAGCATTGAGTCTTGGTTGTTTCTCAAGCCACCCAATTGGGAGACTGTCACCCATGGTTTCTGGAACACTGTGATCATAACAGGTAACATTTAGTAAGTAATGACTCTGTACCAGGCACTCTTCCATATAATCTCTGAAAATTAGAAAATTTAAACCTCACTACAACTCTCACTTCCTCTCTGCAAAATGGAAATGAGTTAGGAGGGTTCAACCCCTTGCCGAAAGTGACAAAGTAGAGTCAGGGTTTAAGCCTAGGAGTCTGACAACACAGTCCTGCTGTTAACCACTGTATTGTAATCGCAGCTCTAATGGACTGTAGAGCAGCAAGACGGCTCTGCTCCCTTGCTCTCCAGAAACTTGCATTTAGTGCAACGGGTGGCACTGAGCCCAGGACTATGAGAGCAGACACCATATTCACCGGGATCAACCATATGCCACTATGGGTCACTGCCACCAGTTGGGACGCTAAGACCTAAGGGAGCCAACCCAGGTAAGGCAGGTGCTGACACCCAGGTAGCCATTGAGCAGCAGACCACTGAGGTCAAAGTAATTTGCATATACTGAATCGTCGTGCATTTTGTTCAGTTTTCAACAGAATGGAAAATGATTTTGCCTTATTCATTTCCCTCCACTCCTGAACACCCTTTCCAAAAAGATCTCATTAAATTAAATGTGGTACCCTAGATTGGATCCTGAAGTAGTAAAAAGACATTAGTGGACAACTGGTGAGGTTTGAAAAATTCTGCAGTTTAGTTAATAGAAATATACCAATGTTAATATCCTTGTTTTGATGCATATCTCTTGGTTATAGAAGATGTTAACACTGGGAAAACTGGTATAAATAGGGACTCTACTTTGCAACTTTTCTGTAAATCTAAAATTATTTTATTTATTTTTAAATGTTTTATTTATTTTTGAGAGAGAGTGAGTGCATGCATGCAGGGAAGGGGCAGAGGGACAGGGGGGACAGAAGATCTGAAGTATGCTCTGCACTGACAGCAGTGAGCCTGATGTGGGGCTCGAACTCACGAACCATGAGATCACAACCTGAGCCAAAGTCGGACGTTCACCTGACTGAGCCACCCACGTGCCCCTAAAATTATTTTAAAAGTTAGGGGTACCTGGGTAGCTCAGTCAGTTAAGTGTCTGACTTCGGCCACGTCATGATCTCACGGTTTATGGGTTTCAACCCCGCGTCAGGCTCTGTGCTGACAGCTTAGAGCCTGGAGCCTGCTTTGGATTCTGTGTCTTTCTCTCTGTCCCTCCCCCACTCGTGCTCTGTCTCCCTCTCTCTCAAAAATTAATAAAAACATGAAAAAAAAATTAAAATTTAAGGGGCATCTGGGTGGCTTAGTTGGTTAAGCATCTGACTCTTGATTTCGTCTCAGGTCATTTGTGATCACGATTTGTGTGATCACGCCCCACATTGGGCTCTGTGTTGACAGTGTGGAGACTGCTTAGGATTCTGTCCCTCTCTCTCTCTGCCTCTTCCCCACTCGTGTACTCTCTCTCTCTCTCAAATAAATACACTTTAAAAACAAATAAAAAAATTAAATTTAAAAATACTTCAGTTTAATTATTTTGAGATTAATTTACTAGGCCCACTGAGTTAATCTATCGCACAATTTAAATAAACTTACAGTGGTTTTTACATTTTTCTGAAATGATTGTTAAATCCATCAGTGAATAGAACTGTTTGTTGGCAAAATTCAGGTTTTGAACTCGTCAGTCATAAACACTATCTTTTCAGGATATGGGTTGAGACAAATATGGGTTGAGAATGAGTTACAAAGCCTCATCTTCCCAATAAAATGACCAGAACTTTGTATTACCATTGACAAACACAAAGGAGTGTTATGGTTAGACAACCATATGATTTCCCTAAAACAGATTCCCTCTCTCCTCTTGACATCCTTAAATTCCAAGTATCATAACCTGGCACACATTTTATAAACAGCAAAGAGAAAGCAAAATAATGACAAATTATGTCAATAACTCAGCCATAATTATAGTACCACGGGTAGGACTCAACATGACTACCTCAGATAGGACAGTTTTGCATTACAAGTATTATCTTCCATAACAGCCCTGGTAGAGAGGGGAACACGTTGTGCCCAGAGCTTCTCAGTCTTAGCTCAGATTTGAAGAACAAATCAGAAAATGACCAGTGTTGCCAGTCAATGTGATAGTCATCTGAACATTCTTCCCAGATTTTAGACAGTTATGTCTTCAATGAGATGCTATTGTTTAAACACTTGTTTTTCTAGGATCAAAAACCTTTACAGCTATCTGGTTGCCTAATCAGATCTCACTTGCTCTGCCAGCCGCTACCAGCTCCTCAGGCAAGTGGGAGCTCCTCTGAGCTGAGAGAACTGTCAGTAGCGGTGCTAAGCTATTTGTAACTCAAAGTAACTGCAGGAGTTCACTCCTGCTTTGTTTTGCCTGGTCAGATCCTCTGAATCAGTTCTGACAAGTGACCAGATATTGTTCTTCTGCTCACCTTACATGGTCTCTATCTTTTCTTTTCTTTTTTTAATGTTTATTTATTTATTTGTTTTTGAGAGAGAGAGAAAGACAGAGTACGAGTGGGGGAGGGGCAGATAGAGAGGGAGACATAGAATCAGAAACAGGCTCCAGGCTCTGAGCTGCCGGCACAGAGCCCAAGGTGGGGCTTGAACTTGGGAACCACTGGATCATAACCTGAGCCAAAGTCCAATGCACCCAGGCGCCCCTAGTAGCACATAGCCAAGGAAGAGAATTTCTCAAGTTCAAGGTGGGGACTCTAGCACTAAAGGTTTTCTGTGCCCTCCATGTCAGGTTTGAACAAGAAGCAGGAGAGGAGGCAAGAAGGGGCAGAAAAGAGGAAACCCAAAATCAAGCTTCTCAGAAGCTGAAAAAAAGTCCGGCCAATCTAATTCCTTAGACCTTCAAAAAGAAAGAAAGAAAAAAAAAGAAATGCCAAAACTGGGTTCGTAAATTAAGAGTGTATTTAAAAGTTTTAAAGTTAATGAAGAAAGTCGCAAAGTGAACATCATTCCGATCTGTCGGTGTATAGCTCATTCGGAAATACCAGAGTCTAATCTAACATTGAATCTTTGTGAATATGAAGTCCAAGTCAAAAAGCACTACTATCCACAACCCATCCCCAGGGTGCCCACCCACTACTTACTATCCACAACCCACTCCTAAGTGCCTCAACAAAACAGGAATAAAAAATTAGAAATATGGACTAAAGAGAATACAAAGAGTAGAGCATCAAGAAAGCCAGTAACGAGATTACTACCTCGGAGCTACAATAACTGAGTGCCAGGAGAAAAGATGCAGAAACAGTAGAAAAGAAAAACAACAAGGGCGCCTGGGTGGCTCAGTCCGCTGATTTCAGCTCAGGTCATGATCTCAAGGTTTGTGGGTTCAAGACAGCTCAGAGCCTGGAGCCTGCTTCTGATTCTGTGTTTCCCTCTCTCTGCCCCTCCCCCGCTCACGCTCTATCTCTCGAAAATAAACATTTTTTTTAATGTAAAAACGAAAAGAAAAGAAAAACAACAACAAAAGCAGCAGGAAGACCTGGACTACCATTTATAGTGGTCTCAGGTGCACTTAGAAAGATGTTCAATAACAGTTGTCAAACCCTCCCAGAATGACTTCAATGGCAAGGAACCTAATTCATAGGTAAGTACTTGGAAGTTGGTACCGGGACCCTATTGTGCTAAATTGCTTTCTTATTTACTGTGTTAACCATCTTACCACATGTAGCACAGGCCACCATTCCAGCTCTCCAAGAACTGCAAGATATTGGGGAAGCCGCTAAGCATATCACTACTTAGGGGCTTCAAAACCTGGGTGCGAGGCTCAAAGCGTCTCTTAAGCAGGATCTTGAAGCGGGAGCAGGGCTTAGCCTTCCGTAGGACACCTAGCGCACCCCAAGTGAAAGACTTGTCTTACAAGGTAGGAGGTGGGCAGGTGAGCCAGGAGGAGCCCGTCCGGCCACGTCTTTTTGAATTCGGTAAAACCTTTCTCCTACAACCTTCAAACCTGACTCCAATGATAATTTTCACAATAAACTCCATTTCCGTAAGAATGTTTGATGAATCACGCTCCTGAGCTGTTCTGCAACAACTTTCCACCATTTTAACAGAAGTCCCCTAATAGCCTTGAAACGTTTCTTACGTCTGTGTCAAAATTTTATAAATTCATCTATAAACTGGGAACTGAAAATCCATCTATAAATCGGGAACTGTGAACAGAAGCCGCTGGAAGAAGGCTGCGGCCGAGGAGGGCGGGAGTCTGAGAGCCCCGCGCCAAGGCTCGGCTCACGGCAGCGGACGGTGCTGCGCAGGTGCGGAGGGTGGGGGTGCGGCACCGAGGCGCGCACATGCGCGGGAGGAGACGGAGCGCCGGGGGCTGGTCATCAGAGAAGGGGGCGCGGCGTACGCAGCATGGCGTCCAACATCTACTTGGTTCGCCAGCGGATCAGCCGGCTCGGCCAGGTGGGGCCCGGGGAGGCACCTCCCCTACCCAGCCCCAGCCCACCCCTCGCCTCCCGCGGCCGCCTCTCTTCCGTCTCCGCCTCAGCGCCTCCGCCAGCGGCTCAACCGCCGCCGCCCCGCCCCGTGGCCTCCCGGACCCGCCTCCTAGAGCCCGCCCCGCCTGCTCTTCCTCGCCGCCCGTCTCCTCGGTCTTGTCGGTCCCCCTCCTCCTCCGACCCGCGGTCCTGACTCTCTCTCCCTCCTTCCCTCAGAGGATGTCCTCCTTCCAGCTCAACCTCAACCCGCTCAAGGAGCCGCTCGGCTTCATCAAGGTCCTCGAGTGGGTGAGTGCAGCCCGCTCCGGCGAGGCCTGGAACCGCGCCGCTGTGACCGTGCCCGCGCCCGCTCTGGCCAGGCCAGCGCCCTCGGCTGGGAGGCGAGGGGCCCAGGGAGCGGGAGCGAGAGCCGGGGCGGCCGGGTCTGCGCGGGCCCCGAGGCCGCCCGCCGCCGCCGGGAGGGACGGGACGGGACGGCGGGGAGGGGATGGGGACCGCGGGCTGGGCCTGCGCGGGGCGGGGACGCCGCAGTCCGCGTCGAGTCACGAGTCCCTCGGCCGCCTGGGTCCCGGGCGAAGCCGCCCTCCCACCCCGAAGCTCACCCTTGGGTGCTCCCGAGGGAGTCGGAGTTCAAATTTTCCTGGTTGCGCTGCTTCCCGCAAGGGAAAAGAAAACTTCCTGTTGCGGTCTAACCGAAAGCTCGTGGGTCGGAGTCGCGCCCCGGCCGGCGCTGCCTTCTGCGTGTCCGGTGGAAAGGGCCAGCCCGTGCATTTCTGCCCGGTGCTGACTGCAGGCCGCGCTCCGTCGAAAGCTGGTTGTGCCTTCTCGAAGTGATTGGACGAGCAATCGGTTCTTAGTTTGCTTTTGAGATGGCTCCAAGTTAAAAATGGATAAAAATAAACTGTGGATCAGGGCAGCAGACGGAGGTGGGGGAGAAGGTCTTCTACACAACGGGTCCAATCAGTCCGTACCACTCAAACACAGGCTAGGAATCGCTCTCAAGTTTGTTTTAGGTACTTCCAAGTGACATCCGGCGGTCACCTCTTGGTTCTTTCCTGGGAACATTCTCAGTCATTAACATCAAAGGAGATTTATTAATTCGACCTTGGCACTGGTCACTTGGAGGAGTTAGCGAATACATCAGGCTCTGCACATTTGATTCTGATTTCGTGGCGTAGTACATGTTTCAGTGCTGATTTTCAGGCCTGGATTAATAGGCAGCTGGCATCTAGCCACTGCAGCCAAGTTGTTTTTATAGCCAGCAACATTTTACATCCGTAATTCTTTAACCTTATATTTTAGTGATACACTGGTGAAGAGTAAGAACTTCCAGATTCCTATGTTGAATAACTTACTGAGGATGTGTTTTAGAGTAACACAGAAACTCAAAATATGTAATGGGTACTCAAGCTGATTTTCAAAAAGTTTCCTACTTTTCCTCCAAAGTTTTACTTGTCCTCTGAAGAGTGAAATGGTGCTGATTTCACACAAATGTCTACTTTAAAGACATAAATACACACACACACTTAGGGTTCTGTAAACCTAGGTCCAGATTTAAAAAGAAAGAAAAATATTTGAGTATATAAAAATTTGAAATTGCAGGAGGAAAATCATGTTTAATTGGGCTAATCAAATATAAAGGTTAAGAAAAAGTCTTATCTCATTGACGGTTATAAATTTATAATTAAAGTTTTCACTCGATAAATGGGGCACTTGTTTGTATTTGTGCTTGCATTATTTGTCAGTCTTTTTTTAAACCAAACAGACATAACTTTTTTCCTTGATATTTTAAAGCATTAGTGATAAGTGTATTAGTGCTCATAGGTCTGATATATTTTGAAAAATATCCTGTTTAAGCTTTTTAAGGAAATAACTACTTTTAGTTTGAACAACATATTACACAAGATAACCTGATAAATACTTTAATAAAAGTATAGGCAAAGTGTAGTACGTGAAAGAAAGAAATCAGTTGCTTGGAGGAACTAGGGGGGATGTCATAGATGAAAGAACACTTGAAGGATGGGTACTTGTTCACTTGGTGAGGATGTGGGGAGTGGCTTTCCAAGCAAGGGGAGATATGTCCAGTGGTGTGAAAAGTTGAAGCAGCATAGCCCTGTTTGAGAACTTAAAGTAGTTGGGGTTGGCTGAAATGGTACTGAAGAGGGTGTGGTTTTAGAGGATTCTAAAAGGTTTATAGATAGGGCTTGCAGAGTTAGGAGTGTATCCTATGGGCCAATCCTATAGGCCAATCTTATAAGGGTTAACCTTTGATGATCTGGGTCCTTTCTTTAGGAAAATGGATATTTGTGGGGTACAGAATTTGAAGATGTTTATTGGATAGCTTCCATTTAAGCCCAGAATTTCTGCCATTTGGAATGGAGACTCAATTGAAGGGTTTTAAACAAGTGAATAATTAGATTTGCTCTTTAGAAATTCTCATTTGTAATGTAGAAAGTGGATTAGAAAGGTAATAATGGAAGGAAGGGAGACATTAAAATGTATTTGGAGGGAGGGTGAAGAAGAGGGAGGACTCAAAGATAACTGCCAAATTTCTGACACGGTTGGTAACGGTACTCTAAGATCACTAAGGAGAAGGAGCAAATTTTTGGTTGGAGCGCAGTATACTTTTAGGTATATTGAGTTTGTGGTTTCTAGATTATATAAAGGGAGTATCCTTTAGGCAGTTAGCTGTATGGATATAGAGTTTGAAAGGTAAGAATGGGCTGGAGATACAGCAGATATCTGCCAGCAAGGAAGAGAACAAATGATTAAGAACATGGAGAAAAATAACATCTCGGCCTCACTGTTAGAATCTCAAGAAAAGACTACTATTCTAACAATATCAAGAGGTGCAAGAAAGAGGTTAAGTGAAATATGGACTACAATGCATACCTTGGTTTTGGTAAGCAGGAGGCTGTTGGTGGCTTTATAAGAGCGGTGTCAGTAAATTCAGAAACCAGATGGTCCTAGGTCAAGTGGATATATGGTAAGAAAGTGAAGACAGTGAAAGTGAACCACTATTTGACCTTGAAGGTGAAGAGATTTGGTGGTAACCCATTCTGAAGATGGGAAGGACTGAATGTGTTTGTGGGCTTGAGAGAAGAGACTTGTGAATAGAATTGTTGGAGCTTAAAAAACAGAGGCAGAGAGGGAATGAATGATAAAACAAAGTTCTAGAGAAGGGCCCATAGTAGGAATTTTTAAATTTGTTTTGAATGAATTGTTCAAGTTTCATAAAGCATTGATTGAGGTGTGGCTGGTTACCTCTAAAAACAGTCAATAAATAATGATTATAAACAAATCTAAAGTTTAAAGTTTAAAAAGTTTAAAGTTGCTTTCCATCCATAAGACTAAAAGAATAATTCCCTAAATTAGCTTATCTCTAGCAAGGTTCTGGAAGATGTTAGACTAAGATATAACCTGATGAAATGTAACTTTCAAGGGGTTAGATGCCCAGTAAATATTTACTGACAATAAAAATAAAATCACCAGAGCAGAAGCATTTGCACTTCGTTTCTAAACTGCATCCACCCACCATGTTATATTCCTTCTCTTCCCTCCTTTTTTTTCTAATCTACCTCTGGCACCTAGTAACAGTGACCAGCAATGTCATTGTAGTTCTCTTCATGTGATACGTACTCGGTAAAAGTTGAATTTTTGTTGCACTTCTCTGGGAATAGCAGTACTTCATATGGCTGTTGGAACAATTGAATTAATAAATATGTGAACAATTATAATGTACTTGAACAGTTCTTAGAAGGTTTCTCAGGACTGAGATGCTGTGTTTATAGGAAGACGGTAGACCCAGACAGTGGAGAGAACTGAGCCCATATGACAGACATATATATCTCCTGGTCCTTCAAGATCACTAAATTCTCTATCACATATTTTAATTTTTTTTAATGTTTATTTATTTTTGGGAGAGAGAGAGAGAGAGAGAGAGAGAGAGACAGAGAGCATGAGTGGGGGAGGGGCAGAGAGAGGGAAACACAGAATGGGAAGCAAACTCCAGGCTCCTAGCTGTCAGCACAGTGCTGGACTTGGGGGCTGGAACGAACAAACTGTGAGATCATGACCTGAGCCGAAGTCGGATGCTTAACCAACTAAGCCACCCATATTTTAAACTTTAGAAATGATGTATCATATGCTTTTCACTTGTCTGCTGTTTTCCTGCCTTTAGAAGCCTATCAAAGTGACAATATAAAATTTAAGTAAGAATAAATGCCCCATGTGTAGAAGTAGAACACAGAAGTAAAGTCAAAGATTAATTTTATCAAAGCAGCTTTTTAAAGTATTTAATATTTCTGTGGTAAATTTTAATTTGGTTCTTACTTTAAAGTCAAATATCCCTAATATTTAGACAACAGTTTTTCATTGAAATGATTTTATTAAAATTTAAAAATATTAAACACTGTGTGTTGGACTTTGTTGCTGCTAACTTGCACAGGTGAACGCTGAACAAATATTTAGCTCTTAATGAATCTAAGTAATGTGCTTTCCTAATTCACACACACAAAATTGTGGAAGAGATACTATTTGGGGAGTATATAAGGAATTATACACTAAGTTGAATTTTAGAATTATTAACCATCTCTCAATATTTTTGTCTGTGGTGGTCAAATGTATTCTAGATGTTAACAGATATTTATTGAGTATACCTATATGTGCCAGGGTTTTACCTGTATTTTCTCATTTAATCTTCTGATCACCTGTGACAGTCTGTTCTTAGTCATTTTGCTAACTTACCTTTGTGTTTCTAACTGGTCTTTCAATAAATTAATAAATGGATTACCAAAAATTTCTGGCTTAAACACAAAAGCCTAAGTTATCTGAAGTGAATTTTTTTCTTGTTTGTTAGATGTATGTTTATAATAAGATGTTAGGAGTTGAAAGTAAAATGT